TCTCCCTCTCTCCCTCTCCCTCTCTCTCTCTCCCCCTCCCTCTCTCTTTCCCTCCCTCCCTCGCCAAAGGTATTTAACAAACTCATTTAATTAAATCACTTGCAATTAGCAACCAAGGGCCTACTATCAGTTGCCTTGTGGATTTGCAGTTTCACACATATTACAGCAATTATTGAGATAAATTAGGTATTTATGAAGCTATCTCTGTTCCTCAGTCATTGACTGAGAGGGGCAGCCATAGAAACTGAACCGAACATAGAATACATTTTTATCATTTAATGGTCTTAATTTTTCCACTTGCTTCCTTGGCTTCCCCCCCCCCCCCCTTAGCTCTTTCAGTTCAGTTCCTAGTCTTTGAAAAGCATGTCTTCACCTGGAGAGAGTCTCATTCCCTTTTTCCTTCTCGCCCTGTTCGCCCAACTTTTCCTGGTCCAAATACACAGTCATCAATAGAGTGTCTCCTTTCTTCCCTAAAGCATCTTCCGGGGCGGGGGGGAGAAGGAGGAAGGAAAGCCATTAAAAAAAATTGGCAATTGCACACACTTTCTTTCCTTCCTCCCTCAGGTCAGCTGTCAGCCCCTGTCCTTAGAGGAGGGTGTTCAGCCATGGAAGTGGAAGAGGAGATGGAGAAGATCAACATAGGGATGGAAAGCCTACAGAACAGCGAGGCAACCGAAGAAGGAGGCCCGTCCAACAGCTGGCCCCATAAATGTGCCTCATATGTCCTGGCTCTCCGGCCCTGGAGCTTCAGCGCCTCCCTCACCCCGGTGGCCCTGGGGAGCGCCCTGGCTTACCGCTCCCAGGGTACCCTCGACCTGGGGCTTCTGGTGGGCAGCGCCGTCACTGTCCTGGCCGTCCACGGAGCCGGCAACCTCGTGAACACCTACTATGACTTTTCCAAGGGCATCGATCACAAGAAGAGCGACGACCGGACTCTGGTGGATCAGATCTTGGAGCCTCAGGATGTGGTCCGATTTGGGGTTTTCCTGTACACTTTGGGTTGCGTCTCGGCCGCGTTCCTCTATTGCTTCTCCACCCTCAAGTTGGAACACCTGGCCCTGATTTACTTCGGAGGGCTCTCCAGCTCTTTCCTCTACACTGGAGGTAAGCTGGGCTTCTCTGTGTGGTCTCCCTTCCACGCTGTGGGACACGGGAGAGGGAGGGGGGGGAAATCTGCTTCCCATCAAAGTGCTGCCAGTTTAAATTTTAGACCAGGCCCAGAAATTTGAGTTATGTGGCCTATATGTTTGAGTCAATTCAATATGGGAAAGAAACCTCAAATTTTGCCCCGTCTGCTTGATTTTAACCTGCTCCTAAGAGTAAAGGGGCAAATGGCAGTCAGGCTGGTGTTGCTCTCTGAGCTTGGTGGTTTTCTTGCAGACGTTTCATTACCCAACTAGGTAACATCATCAGTGCTAGTAAGGAGTGCTGTTTGCTGTCAGTTTATATTCTGATGTCTTGCTTGTCTGGGTGGGTGGGGAATTCCCTAAGACCTCACCCATCCACCCACCCACACAGACAGGCAAGACACCAGAATATAAATTGACAGCAAACAGCACTCCTTACTAGCACTGATGATGTTATCTAATTGGGTAATGAAGCGTCTGCAAGAAAACCACCAAGCTCAGAGGGCACCAAGGACCCCATGGTCNTCCTCCTCCTCCTCCTCCTCCTCCTCCTCCTCCTCTCCACAACCCCCACTTCCTTCTAGCCCTGATGACATTACCTAGTTGGGTAATGAAACGCTGCAAAAAAACCACCAAGGTCCTCAGGTCCCTTCTCTGCTGCAGGCATTTAACTTCCCCTCCTTGTTGTTGCTACAGGCATCGGATTTAAGTACGTCGCCCTCGGCGACCTGGTCATCCTGATCACCTTTGGGCCCCTGGCTGTGATGTTCGCCTATGCCCTCCAGGTGGGCTACCTGTCCATCTCACCCTTGCTCTACGCCGTGCCCCTCGCCCTCAGCACAGAGGCCATCCTGCACAGCAACAACACCCGGGACATGGAGTCTGACCGGCAGGCTGGCATAGTCACCCTGGCCATTCTCATCGGCCCTACGCTCTCGTACGTCCTCTACAACAGCTTGCTGTTCCTGCCGTACCTCATCTTCTGCGTCCTGGCCACGCGCTACACCGTCAGTATGGCTCTGCCTCTCCTCACCCTCCCCATGGCCTTTTCCCTGGAGAGGCAGTTCCGGAGCCAAAGTTTTCTCAAGATCCCGCAAAGGACAGCCAAGCTCAACCTCCTGTTGGGACTTTTTTATGTCTTCGGCATCCTTTTGGCTCCCCCCGGCTCCCTCCCCAAACTCTAGGGAGACGGGAGGGAATGGAAGGTTCCCTGAAAATAATTGTTCCCAAAAAAAGCTTCCCCAAAAACACACAGGCAAATGTATATACATACATGTGCATATCTCTCTATATATGCATATGTAAATACACACACACATACATACACACACACACGTGAGTTTATAATCTTCACCAAACTGCACAAGGATGTTTTTTTTCCTGATCTGTGAACGTCAGATTTTCTGAAATGTTTCCTTTTTCACGATAGGGAGAAATCGTCTTTATAAAGTTCTGGGTTCTCTGAGTTTGGGTTTCAGCGTTTTGCCGTCTTTTTTTGTCTGCATTTCATAAATCAAAAGGTTAGCACTCCAGGGTAGAACTCCACAAGGCCACATAGTAGAAATCCCTTTTAAAATAAGATTTTGGGGGCAGGGGGGAAAAATCCGCACCCGCACCGGCCAGAATAAAAAAATCAAAACGCTAAAGCAAGTTAATCATCACATCTAATGCATTTGCCCCCACCCCACCCCTCCGTGTCTACTTTCCAGTCGTAAAGTTGGGCTTTTCTGTCGGAGGGAGCGCCAGTGGTATTTTAGGGAAAAATGACTTTGGATCCTTCCCCAGCTGTTCTCAATGTGGGAGGCTGGACCCAGTGCCAGATCTCAGAGTTCAGGTGTTGGCTCCCATCTTGTCTGACTTATTCATACCACATCTTACCTAATAGAACACTACTGTGTTCTACTAGGGATCACTGGAAATTTTGCAATTGTTAACGCTTGCTGTGAACACCGCAGTCCACATTGGCTTGCGGCGTTCGCTTCGCACGTTCCCTCCATCACCCACCATCAGGTTGCTGGCAACAGAGTCCTTGAGAAGAGTCAGATAAGATCCGCCAAGCATCATTTCCAACGAGGCTCCCTTGCTCAACCGCCAGTGGAGAAGGGAGAAGCCAAAGAGTTCAAGTGTCCCACTCGGTGATATTTTGGAGCAGAACGACGGGCAATCACGTCTTTTGTGGAAGGAGACGGACACAAAACCAAACTGGAATCTTTGCCTTTCTCCGTCTCTCTGTCGAGAGCAACGGTGCTTATATGGACGAAGCTTTGTAACTTGATTATTACGGAAGCAAACAAACGTGCGGACAGAGTTGACTCCATACGGTTCGCTCGGGTGCTTTGATGAGCAACCAATGGTGGCTTTGGATGGCTCCTTTCCAAGGGGTTGAGAGCATCCCACAGCTCCCCTGATGTATGTTGGGATACTTGGTACACACCAGTGTTTGAAGGGGACTCTCCTGATGCTTCCAGAAACAGCGCCAGAAACTGGAGCCTTGATTGCCACCGTTTTCAAGCTACCATGGTTTCCCAGCTTACCTCTTCATACTGGGCTTGTTCATCCATCCTCACGCCTGTGATTTCACGCCAGGATCACCTCCCATTTTGGGGTTCTGAGTCAGCTTCCCATCCCACCAGACCCTCGCCACCCAGCTTCTAGCTTCCTTTCCAAGCCCAAGGGCAAGGCGGTTTTAATGAGAATTGAATTTGCATTCTGAAGATCCCAGTGTCATGGTTCCGAAAAGAAGAAGCTTTTCAAAGAACCTTGAGGCTTATTTACCTTAAAGAATCCTTTTATTGCTACATAGCTTCGGCAGGTACATAATGAAGCCAAAAACTGAAACCTCCCACCCCCAATCACCCATAACAAAGCATAACTCACTCCTTCATTTTACAGTCATCAATCACGTTCTCCAATTAGTGTGAAGTGTGAATTGTCCCCCCCTACTCCTCCTGTTACAGCTGACCTTGGCAGTGCTGTGCTGAAATATTGTTATGGTTAACTAGCATATTTTCCCATCCACTAGGCTAGTATTGTCTGCTTTAACTCTAGAAGTGATATGCAGGCTAAATAAAACATGTTTGCTTCTTCACACATGGCAAGCAAGAACATCTGATGTTAGCAGTCTTGATACCCAGCTTGTTGGGCTGTCCCTGTCATGCACCGGCCTCAGACTACGGGCTGTCTGTTGGCCACCGGACCAATGTATTTGACAGATGGCAGAAGAAATGTCCTGTTGCACGATGGGAGGAAAAAGGGAAAAACAGCTGTTTTTCTAGGCTCACCTCCTTTGGGAAAATTTGCTCTGATTCGTTTGGGGCCTGGCTTTTTTTTTTTCTCGACGTTGCCTAGAGTTCTTCTGAGGCTCCGTCCACTGAAGCTGGTTTGATAGGTCAAAATGTCTCTTTTTTGGGCTTCTGCCCAGCCGTCCCCACGGAGGACTGGCAAAAAAAATAAAGCTGGCTGGGCAATTGCTAAAGCCTCCTCTGGATCTCCCAGGCCTGATCTGGCCCAAGGACTTAAACGCCGCACCAAGATTTAAAAAGAACATCTGGGTCACCGTTCTCGGTTTGTTTTCATTGACACCTCCGTCATTTTCAATTATATATATAAAAAAAAAAGAATCAGAAGGCAAATCCTTCTCAACTTGTCTTCCCTTTTCACTGCTCGCTTAGATTTGGGAAACGGCTTTTGTGTGTCTTCAACTTGCGCACACCGCGACCGTGAGCTGTAAGGGCTGTGCCAGTAACATCCGAAGCATCAAGGCTTGCTTCCAGTCTCGGGACACGAAAAACAAGCTAAGCTTTGATCACGCTGTCGCAGCGACATCCCTGTTGGATACCCCCTGTTCCAATCTGAGTTTCCATCTTTTTCTTCTCCCCCCTCCCCCCAAACAAAAAAAAACCCGGCTCTGATTTTTGTGCATCCTGAAGAGGGCAGCGTTTTGCCACTCCGGTTGAAATTAAAATATTCAATATTTTATAGAGACAGACCATCACCTAAACCCTGAGCCCGGATTNCAGCGACATCCCTGTTGGATACCCCCTGTTCCAATCTGAGTTTCCATCTTTTTCTTCTCCCCCCTCCCCCCAAACAAAAAAAAACCCGGCTCTGATTTTTGTGCATCCTGAAGAGGGCAGCGTTTTGCCACTCCGGTTGAAATTAAAATATTCAATATTTTATAGAGACAGACCATCACCTAAACCCTGAGCCCGGATTTTGTATGGAGCAGTTCAACGGCAGCATCTCCCAAGTACGATTTAAATAATAATAATAAAAAACAACTGTTGCCTGGACCACCATCTTTCCTTGGAAAGAAGCATCTTTTCGTGTTTCTTTTGACGCAAGACGGGAGCCGTTGTTTCTCCCCTTTTTGAACCGGATAGGAGAAAGCCCCGTCGTCCACATGTCTTGTGACAGCGAGCTGTGTGTACTAATCACCACTTGCACGTCCCGTGCGTTATTCCAGATCTGGAAAAAAGATGGAGGCCCTCCCTCCTCAATCACAATCATTGGCCCTGTTCAATTATTCTGGATGAATCTCTCTTAATCCAAATGAAGAGCTTCCTAGATCAGTAGCCGCAATAGATCTCGGCAAGGAAAGCATTGCTGGCTAGTCCCAAAGTTGCTTTTTTCACAAGTCAACCGGACTTTCTTGTTTTTCTTTGAAGATGTTTCGCTTCCTATCCAAGAAGCTTCTTCAGCTCTGACTAGATGGTGGGGAATGGAAGGGTTTATATTCCTGGTCATTTGCATCCTTTTAGAGAGCCGTGGAGACCACTTGGAGGTTTACCTGTGTCCTCGGGGTCACCTGAGCGGTGCAAATGGGTGTGGAGCCTTCTTGGCTGCAGGATGTTTTTCTGCCCTGGGTCCCTTCCCTGTTGAAGACGGGCGCAGGATGATGGGGATGAGTCTGGTTTTGTCTGCGTCTCCATTTGAAGTGCAAAATGGTTCCTGGAGTCTGCCGTTTTCTGGAAATCCGTTCCTACAATCCGTTCATAAAAGGATGCAAATGGCCAGAATATCAATCCTTTCATTCCCCACCATCCACTCAGCTTCTTGGATGAGAAGCGAAACTTCTTCAAAGAAAAAAACAAGAAAGTCCAGTTGCCTCCTGAAAAAAAAACACCTTTGGGATAACCGTGGCCTGGATGAGTGAGCAACTCCAGAGACATTGCTGACCAGGTAACTAGAGGGGTAGCTTCCATTTTGCAAGGCAGGGCTTTATTTTCAGGTTTGGGCTCAAGTGAATAGAAATAGGAATAGAATGCAGAATAGAATAGAATAGAATATGGAATGGAATAGAATGCAGAATAGAATAGAATAGAATAGAATAGAATAGAATAGAATAGAATAGAATAGAATAGAATATGGAATAGAATAGAATAGAATAGAATAGAATAGAATAGAATAGAATATGGAATGGAATAGATTGTAGAATAGAATATAGAATAGAATAGAATAGAATTATGGAACAGAATAGAATGCAGAATAGAATAGAACAGAATAGAATTATAGGATAGAATAGAATTATAGAATAGAATAGAAATAGAATAGAATTATGGGATAGAATAAAATTATGGAACAGAATTGAATGCAGAATAGAATAGAATATGGAATGGAATGGAATAGATTGTAGAATAGAATAGAATAGAATTATGGAACAGAATAGAATGCAGAATAGAATAGAACAGAATAGAATTATAGGATAGAATAGAATTATGGGATAGAATAAAATTATGGAACAGAATAGAATAGAATAGAATAGAATAGAATAGAAGCAGGAAGGGACCTTGGAGGTCTTCTAGTCCAGCCCCCTGCTCAAGCAGGAGAACCTATACCGTCTCAGACAGGTGAGTGTCCAGTCTCCTCCAGTTCCTGATCCCCGTTTAGCTTGACCAATTAAAGAAAGGATTTGCCCTGTCCTTGTACAGAGCATTCTGATTTATTTCTCTTTAAAAATGACAGGCAGGCAGCCCTCGACTTAACGACCGCAACTGAGCCCAAAATTTCTGTCGCTAAGCGGGACGGTTGTTAAGTGAACTGCGTTCCATTTTACGTCCTTTCTTGCCACCGTTGTTAAGGGACTCACTGCAGCCGTTAAGTTAGGAACCCGGTCGTTAAGCGAATCTTGTTTCCCCCATTGCCTTTGCTGGTCAAAAGGCCGCAAAAGAGGAACGACGTGACCCCGGGGTAGTACAACCGTCATAAGTACGAGTCAGTTGCCAAGCGTCCAGATTTGGATCTGGTGACCCTGGGGAGGCTGTGACGGCCGTAAGTGCGGAAAACGGCTACGCGTCCCATTTTTCACTGCCCTTGTAACTTGGAACGGCCACGAAATGAACCGTCGTAAGTTGAGGACTACTTGTGAAAGATTTCTAAATCCCCGTTTGGGACACCCCAGTTAGGATGCCAAGAGAAAGCATAATAACATCAAGCCACGCACTTTTCTTTTTTCTTTTTTAA